GATCAAACCCAGGCCCATGGTAGTGAGAGCACAGAGTCTTAACCACTGGACCACCAGAGAACTCCCCCCATCTTTTTCTTATTCTTCCTGTCATGACCTTCCTGGGGAAGAAATATTTATTCTGACACCTCAGATCCCTGGGCAGGGCATGTTTACTAACAGTAGAGGGGGAGGGATGTCACAGGACACTAAAGGTTACAAAGTTGCATTTTACCTCTCCTGCCTTCATACTTATTTAATCTATAAATCTGAGATTGAGCTGCCTTTCCTATTTTGTGTGTGTGCATGCTTAGCCATGTCTCTTTGTGATCCTCATGGATTGTAGCTACCAGGCTCTTCTGTCTATGGGATTTTTCAGGCAAGAATACTGGACTGAGTTGCCATTTCTTACTCCAGGGGATCTTCCCAACCCAGGGATTGACCCCATGTTTCTTTTGTCTCCTGTACTGACAGGCAGGTTCTTTACCACTAGTGCCCCCCTGAGAAGAATAAATCTTTAAAAAGATAATTTACCTCTTGTTACACTTTTCCAGTATTTGAACTGAATTGTATTTAAAAGTCTATGCTCTTTGCATTCAGTTCATTATTTATTCAAAATTTTTGCTATAGGCTTTATCTTGAATGTGCAAAACCATTCGCCCTACATAGAAGTCCGTATATTCCTCTGGCAATTCTGCAAGGATTTTTAAGACTCTGTGCAAAATTTGTGCAGCTCTTGTTGCTGCTGTAGGATCTTTGTCTCCATAGGTATCCATTTTAGCATAGCATTCAGAGGGAAGGTGCTTCCAAAAGACATTCACTCCCACTCCAAACTCCTCAGAAATTATATTATGGAATCATAAAGCAGGAATGAATAATACATATCCAGCTTTAAGGGAACATTCATACCATCTAGCCTTGGAAAACAGTAGATATTTAGTTAAGTCTGGGTTATCTATGTTCAGGACTTCTGATTTAATACCCGATAATTATAAATATTGGGCATCTTGAGGACTGAATAGTATAATGCATTTTTTTTCCTGTCACTTGTATTGAGAAGTTATCTGTTACTTTACAGTGGATCCAAAGTTGTAACTTTGGTGAGCTTAATTTGAAAAACACTGGAAAAGAACCATTCTTTGAAGAATTTTGGAAACTCGATATCTTCTTCCAATAAAGGAAACTGCTTTCTGATATTTGCAAGATCCTTTCTAGGCTCTTCCCCAAGTGACCCTAGGTCATCCTTCTCAGTCTTTCCTGTTAATGCTCTCTGGTGGCCTTATGAAGAAATGTCTCTATATATCCTTGTAGTAAAAACTGGATCCACAAAGCATGAAGTACAGTAGATCCTCTGATATAAAGAATTCCTTATGGTTTTCTTCAGTTGTGCTCTGTACCAACTTGTTAAAAGTTTAAGGAAGTCCATGGGGCAACTGCAGCAACGTGAATCTTCACTTCTTTCCTCCTTCTGATTTGGCTTAGGTGATCCACTGTCCATCTGCTTGTGCAAGTGAAGTCGCTCAGCTGTGTCTGACTCTTTGTGACCCCGTGGACTGCAGCCCCCCAGGCTCCTCCATCCATGGGATTCTCCAGGCAAGAATACTGGAGTGGGTTGCCATTTCCTTCTCGAGGGGATCGTCCTGACCCAGTGATAGAACCTGGGTCTCCCACATGGTAGGCAGACACTTTACCGTCTTAGCCACCAGGGAAGTCCTCTGTCCATTTGCTTGTATGTGCTCCCAAGTCAATTCCTTTCAACACCAGAGGTTTTCTCTGCGGATCCAGGTGTCCTATGAACTGCTTCTGCGAATCACCCTCGAGCTGGTGTATTGGGACTCACTGCCCATTCTCCTTCAGCTCTGGGGAACCTCTGCGTTTCGCCTTTCTTTTCCGAACTCTTATTTCCGCCATCTTTAACAGAGTTCTTTTGTGACCCGTCATCTGTCTTCCTCCTACAGTTCATGTGCTTGGAAGTCCCAGGCCTTCAGGATTTACAACTGGTTAGCGGTAAACGTGGAAACATGAGAACCTCGCCTGGGGTGTCATGCTTCATAGAAGGTTCACCGTAAAACCCTCTATTAGAGCATCAGGGATTTGACTGGCCTTTTATTTACAGTTTGCTATTACATTTATGAGTAAGAGTATTACATTTACTACATTATGGAAAGAATATTGCGTCTGTGGGTAGCTGAGGGCATCTTGCGGAGAAGGCAATGGCACCCCACTCCAGTACTCTTGCCTGGAAAATCCCATGGACGGAGGAGCCTGGTGGGCTGCAGTCCATGGGGTCACGAAGAGTCAGACATGACTGAGCGACTTCACTTTCACTTTTCACTTTTAGGCATTGGAGAAGGAAATGGCAACCCACTCTAGTGTTCTTGCCTGGAGAATCTCAGGGATGGGGTCACACAGAGTCGGACACGACTGAAGTGACTTAGCAGTAGCAGCAGAGGGCATCTCGGCATGTTTGGTAAGACATAGCTCAAGTATTCCAGACTGTCTGGGTCTACTACCATTACAGTCCCACCTTACACACCCATCAAAACGTGTTCTCTTAGGGAAGTGAAGAAGAAAAAAATTTACTGTATTCTTCTCCCATGCAGTGAAGTAGTGTGCATACATGTATTTATTGTTGCCAAACACTAACTTTTAAGGAATTCCTGACACATTTTTTGTTTCACTGTTTATTCCTTCTCTGTTGTCCCTATGTACTGGGTAGTCCGAATTATAACATTTCCTATTGGCCACTTGTGTCAAATATCAACTTTATCAGCTTCATCAACTCTTTCTAGATGGCTTAAATTTTCTCTTGTGTGCCCAAGCTTTAAAGCTGATTTGATTCTTCCTGACACTACAGTGAATTGTTTCTCTGCCACTCCACCCAAATTTTACATTTCTTCTGGACCAGAAACATGTCTGTTTCATCTTGCAGGATTCACAATATTGGGCCATGGATCGAGAGGCAAATTGAATAATAATACACTTATAGATTACTTTGGAGAAAAAGAAGTCTTGCTCTCCTTACTTATCAAATATTTTTTCCAGCTTCTTTTCAGCAGAAGATCTCCCCTTGTTCTAAAATAAGCTGTGAAGTCACACACAGCTTGAACTTCCTCATACCCCTGTTTTTCAAATCTTCCTATTTTAATCACGTGTCTGAAAAAGTGTTCTTTTTTTTTGAAGCAATGCATTTTATTCTTTTTGCCTTCTATTTATATGTACAAATCTAGCTTGAAATTACACTCAGATTCATACATTCCTGATACATATCAAATTAGCCAATTTCACAGAAAAAAATAATTTTAAACCACTGTCACTCACTGCTCACTTTCATCACCGCAGAAGCTAGCTATAAAAAAAGTACTAACATTACAGGTGACTGACCCTCAGCATAGAGACATATCACTTTTAAGCCCCCAAAAAGTATTGGGTTGGTCCAAAATACATTTAGATCAACAGAATTTTTCGGCCAACCCAATAATATCAGTAACTAAGAAGGTTATAGGGTTTCTCTGGTGGCTCAGAAGGTAAAGAATCTGCTTACAATGTGGCAGGCAGATTCTTGAGAGTCCCTTGGACTGCTCGGAGATCAAACCAGTCAATCTTAAAGGAAATCAGTCTTTAATATTCATTGGAAAGACTGATGCTGAAGCTGAAGCTCCAATAATTTGGCCACCTGATGCAAAGGGCCAGCTCATTGAAAAAGACCCTGATGCTGGGAAAGATTGAAGGCGGGAGGAGAAGAGGACGACAGAGGACGAGATGGCTGGATGGCATCACCGACTCAATGGACATGAGTTTGAGCAAGCTCCAGGAGATGGTGAAGGACAGGGAGGCCTGGCGTGCTGCAGTCCATGGGGTCACAAAGAATTGGACACAACTGAGTGACAGAACAAACAACAAAACAGTGCACAAAGGTCAGCTTCCAAAATTCCCGAAGGACTGGTACGTCTACTACCATCATTTTCTCATTTTAATTCACTCTTTATCTTTTTGAAATATTGCCTCTTCTTTTAATACTCTGTTCCACTGAAGGCTACTGGTGCCCCATTAATTATAAAACATAATAATGCTTTTTTTCTCTTTTATCCTCTTTAAACATTGTTTCAAATCTACCTTTATTAGCTTAAGAAGTTTAACACTTAGATTCACTGTCCATGCTTATGTGTTATTTTCATCAAGTTATTATAAATATAAATCCATAAGAGCTATTGTCTCCCGGATATAAACCAAACTCCTTTCATATTTTTAAATTTTTATTGGAGTATAGTTGATTTACAGTGTTGTGTTAATTACTGTTGTACAGCAAAGTGAATCATATACACATATCCACACTCTCTCTTTTTATCCTTTTAAACATTTTTTTTGCAGCATTTTATTTTTTCAAGAAGCTTCTCTCCAAGTTTGCTTTTTCTTCCCTCTCTTGGTTTATAGGAAATCCTCCTCTCCAGATAATTCTCAGTCTCTTCCATTTTTTCTCTAATAACCCTAATTCTCAGTCTCTTCCATTTTTTCTCTAATAACCCTTTCCCTGAGTCCCCATAAGGCCCAGGCCTCGGAATGCTGTCCGTTGTTGTCTTCATTTACATGCTCTCTGTTGGCAGCGTCAGTCACCGCATCATCATGGAGATCTACTGGCCACAGCAGGCCAGGGACCATGCTGGATAATGATACAAAGATCCGTGGTAGACAATCTGCCTAGTCCTTCTGAGACCACATACTCTGTAGAGCAGTTTTTTTTTTTTCCTCCTAGTCCAGTTTCCAAGTACCTGAACTGCAGTCCGTGATTCTGCAGGTGATCAATTCTTGAGTGGTATCACATGACTTTATGAAGGCATCCTACCCAGCACCTAATGACTCTAAGCTCCTCTAGCTTGATTGGTTGTCTGGATGAGGAGTTTCCAATCCCGGGGTAGACAGAAAGACGTCTCTGCTCTGCATGAATATTTGACTGAGTGTGTGTGGCCAAGCCCCGTTCTAAAGAGGTGAAGATTTTCCTGTCTTCGTTTGTTTTCTTCCAGAATGAGTCCTAGCTGGGTTCCCTGGGTGGTGGCCTTCTTATCCACTCTTCTCACGCTGGATGCTTCTGTGACTCAGGGCAGAAATTCTCCAGGTAAGAACACGGTGGTTTCTTTCAGGTGTACACGCTGACACAGGGAGAGAGGCCTTCCCCTTACAGGTGCAGCCTCCAGTCCAGACAGGAAGCAGCTCTGGCTTCAGAGAGTCTTCTTTCTCACAGAAAAGCTTTCCCTCCCGCTTTACCACATGAAATGGACCGGCGGGGAAAGGACTTCCTGTCCCAGAGCCACTGGTTCAACGAAGGGAAACAGATTGCTTGCTCAGGGTCCTTATGGTATTGATGGCCATCTGGAGAACTGTGAAAAATTGAGGCAGGCTGAAAATAGCCACTGTCTTTCAGCCAGGAGTTTGATGATTGTGACTGCTTCTATTTGTGACTGTTTCTTTATGCATATAAGGACTTGACTGCTTCATATGACATTTTTAAGCCTCTGTAACATGGTCAGATTATACCAAGTGATTTGACAAACAGGAGAAATTGAATGTGTGATGCCCGTCCTCAGGTTACCAGGTACATATGCTTACCGGTTATTTGTCTAGCTGAGAAGTTAAGCTTTGCAAACATGAAGTGACAGTACATTCCAAAAACATATTTATCAGTAGAAAACAGGATACAACATTCTAAAAACAGAACCTCTTTGAACGTCAGTCTCGTTAAACACAAAAGAGGAACAAAACCTAGGGGTGGGGAGGGTGGTTGTGAGGAGATCATAGTTCTTGGAGAACAGAAACCTCTCTGAACTTATAATTTCTATTAAACAACAACAACAACACACACACACACAATCAGTAAGATCTAAACTCTGACACAGATCTGACTGAAAAATAATTTTTTTCTAATTTAGACTGTAAGATGAAAGAGGGAATTGGAGATTAGAGACTCATCTGAGTTTGAGATCAGTCTGGCTGAGCCAGGAAAGATGTTGCCCTCCTGACACTCAGCCCAGCATTTCCTCTGCACTTAGGCATGAAAGCAGATCTGCATCTGAGATCAGGAACGGTCACCCTTCACATCTCAGCCAAAGTGCCATTTCTTCAGGGAGATCGTTCCTGGTTAATTGGCACTATGAACCCTTTCGAATGTCATTTTACGTTGTTCTCAAGTGCACAGAGTGGGGTTCTCTCTCCCAATGAGCTCACAGCGCTTGTCATCACTCGCTTCTCTCTATCCTCTCTCCCTCCCTTCCATTCCAACGTGTCTGCTGTGGCTTTTAGTATCAGGGTGGCTTTAGAAAAGATGGAGCAGTTTTCTGTGTGTATTTAAAATATTAGTAAATGTCATCATGTGATGAATTACATTCTGCTTTTTAAAAAAGTTTAATTTTTAATTTTTTAAAATTAATTTTTATTGGCGTATAGTTGCTTTTCAATGTTGTGTCAGTTTCTACGGTAGAGCATGGTGGGTCAGGTGTACATACACATGTATCCCCTCTTTTTTGGATTTCCTCCCCATGTAGGTCCCCGCAGAGCTCTGGGTAGAGTTCCCTGTGCTCCACAGTAGGTTCTCTGTGGAGACATTAGTCATCTGTTTTATACATAGTATCAGTGGTGTAGATCCATCAATCCCAAGCTCCCAGTTTCATCCCACCCACCTCCCATTCCCCACTTGTATCCATACATTTCTTCTCTACCTCTGTGTCTTTATTTCTGTTTTGCAAATAAGGTCATTTATACCATTTTTTTCTAGATTCCACAAACATACATCAATATTTGATATTTGTGTTTCTCTTTGGAACTTGCTTCACTGTATGACAGTCTCTAGGTCCAGCTGCATCTCTACAAATGACCCCATTTTGTTCCTTTCTGTGGCTGAGTAACATTCCATTGTACATGTGTACCACGTCTGCTTTCTCACATTCTGCTTCTTTTCTTACCTGACCCAAATGCTTCTGAGTTCTACCTTGGTGGTGGTGTGCATGAACTGGAGCCCCGTCCTTAATGATGGGAAAGCAGGTCAGGAAGGGAAGTGTCTGTTTCTACGTGAAACCAGTAGATGCAGAACTAAAACTCCAGTCAACTAAGACCTAGCCCACGGCCATTTACCAGTTTCTCTCTTAAAATTGTCCATATCTTCAAATTTAAGACAACTATCATTATCCTAGTCTGTTTAGACTGCTATGACAAATACCACAGATTGGGTGGCTTATAAACAACACACATTTATTTCTCAACATTCTGGAGGCTGAGGTGTCCAGGATCAAGTCTCCAGCCTGGTTGTGTCCCGGGAAAGACTGTCATCCTGCTTCAGAGCTGGTGGTGCCTTCTATCTGTGTTCTGACGTGGTGGAAGGGGCTGGGGCGCTCTCTGGAGCCTCTTCTCTAGGGGTGCTAATCCCATTCATCAGAAGCCCATGCTCCCAACACCACCAACTAATACCATCACCCTTGGGATTTGAGATTTCAACATATGAACTTGCCATAGTAAACAATCACACTTTTTCTCACCTATGAGGTTTGATTAAATAACTTTGGAAAATGAAAACTGTTTTGGAGAATATGAACCATCTAGAAATGAGGTACAGTGTATGAAAGTTAATATAAAGCTCAAACTAGTCACTACCAATACTAGCAAAGTACTTTGAAAGTAGAAAATCATAATGGAGAATGGGTTTGATTTTTATTTATTTACTTCTTTACTTTAAATTTATTTTTATTGAAGTATGGTTGAATTACATGTTGTGTTAATTACCGCTCTATGGCAAAGGGACTCAGTTATACATGTATATATGTATATATATAAATATATACATTCTGTTTCATATTCTTTTCCATTATGGTTTATCACAGAATATTGAAGGATTTGGATTTTGTTTTTGATTTGGAGTTTTTAAAATAATTTTTAAAAATTTATTTCATTACTTTAAAGTGCTTGGTCTTCCTCGCTGCCTGGGCTCCTCTCTAGCTGGGACAAGCAGGGGGCTTCTCTCTGGTTGCGGTGCATGGGCTTCTCTCACTGCGCTGGCTTCTCTTGTTGCAGAGCGCGGGCTCTGGGGTGTGCAGGCTGCCGTAGTTGTGGCTCCGGGGCGCCAGAACACAGGCTCAGTAGGTGTGGCCCATGGACTTAGTTGCTCTGCGGCAGGTGGGATCTTCCTGGATGCAGGTGTCTCCTGCATTGGCAGGCGGATTTTTTTTTTTTTTTAAACCACTGAGCCACTAGGGAATCCCTGGATTTGGATTTTTTAAATTTACTCTTCAGTGGAAGTGTTTAATTTTAAAGGCTCCAGAGAAGGTGTAAGTTAAGCTTGTATTCCTTATCACCATGTTATTACAGCCACTAGAACTGTACATATAGGGCCAATGATGGTGATGATGATGATAAAAGCATATTCAAACCAGGAGTTAATATTATTTTGCTCAAAGTTGATAGAGGGGGTGAGGTCTCTGAGTAATCGCGCACAGGAAAACGTACAGGAGAAAATTCTTGAGAAAACCCAGATGAGTGGGGAGTAGAGGGGGAATTTACTCCACACTACTGTGAGTCTCCTCTGCATCTTTGTTTTACCCCACCTCCATCTTCCTTTCATTTTGCTCCAGAAGGAATATGTAGAATGAACCTGCTGATGGCAAGAAAACTGAACTATTCCATACAGGGTTGGTTGGTTTTGACTTTGATAATAAGGAGAATTCAAAGTCTGGGCTCCTGAAAGCCTGGATTGGAGACACTTAACACATTGGCAAAATACAAACAGTCTATAAATATTGGCCAAATGAATGTATATTTGTTGAATGAATGTTCGTGTCTCTGGACTCATTTTGAGTTGCTTCTTTGGGTGACATGTCTCCTATTTGGCTGGCCTGATAGGCTGGACCTCAGGTTTCTTTCAAAGAAGAAAGGGTGTTCTTCATGAAAAGATGCTCAACATCACTCATTATCAGAGAAATGCAAATCAAAACCACAATGAGGTACCATTACACGCCAGTCAGGATGGCTGCTATCCAAAAGTCTACAAGCAATAAATGCTGGAGAGGGTGTGGAGAAAAGGGAACCCTCTTACACTGTTGGTGGGAATGCAAATTAGTACAGCCACTATGGAAAACAGTGTGGAGATTTCTTAAAAAGCTGGAAATAGAACTGCCATATGACCCAGCAATCCCACTTCTGGGCATACACACTGAGGAAACCAGATCTGAAAGAGACACGTGCACCCCAATGTTCATCGCAGCACTGTTTATAATAGCCAGGACATGGAAGCAACCTAGATGCCCATCAGCAGACAAATGGATGAGGAAGCTGTGGTACATATACACCATGGAATATTACTCAGCCATTAAAAAGAATTCATTTGAATCAGTTCTAATGAGATGGATGAAACTGGAGCCCATTATACAGAGCGAAGTAAGCCAGAAAGATAAAGACCATTACAGTATACTAACACATATATATGGAATTTAGAAAGATGGTAACGATAACCCTATATGCAAAACAGAAAAAGAGACTCAGATGTATAGAACAGACTTGTGGACTCTGTGGGAGGAGGCGAGGGTGGGATGTTTCAAGAGAACAGCATCGAAACATGTATATTATCTAGGGTGAAACAGATCACCAGCCCAGGTTGGGTGCATGAGACAAGTGCTCGGACTTGGTGCACTGGGAAGACCCAGAGGGATAGGGCGGAGAGGGAGGTGGGAGGGGGGACCAGGATGGGGAATACATGTAAATCCATGGCTAATTCATTTCAATGTATGACAAAAACCACTGCAATGATGTAAAGTAATTAGCCTCCAACTAATAAAAATAAATGGAAAAAAAAAAAAGAAAGGGTGTTCTTTTTAAAAAAAATTTATTGGAGTATAGTTAATATATAATGTTATGTTAGTTTCAGGTGTACGGAAAAGTGAGTAAATTGTGCATATACATCCATCCACTCTTTTCATTATTTTTTCCCCCCATATAGGCCATTATGGAGTATTGAGTAGAGTTCTATATGCTATACAGTAGGTCCTTCTGTTAGCTATTTTATATACAGTGGTATGTATATGTCATTCCTGATCTCCCAGTTTATTCCTCCTCTTCTTACCCCTGGTGACCATAAGTTTGTTTTCTATATCTGTACTCTATTTCTGTTTTGTAGGTAAGTTCATTTGTACCCCTTTTATTTTCTGATTCCACATTTAAACAATACCATATGATATTTGCCTTTGACTTACTTCACTTAATATGATAATCTCTAGGTCCATCCATGTTGCTGCAGATGGCATTATTTTGTTCTTTTTTTATGACTGAGTAATCTTTGAGATGTTCAAGCTGGTTTTAGGAAAGGCAGAGGAAACACAGATCAAATTGCCAACATCTGCTGGATCATCAAAAAAGCAAGAGAGTTCCAGAAAAACATCTATTTCTACTTTATTGACTATGCTAAAGCCTTTGACTGTGTGGATCACAATAAACTGTGGAAAATTCTGAAGGAGATGGGAATACCAGACCACCTGACCTGCTTCTTGAGAAACCTGTATGAAGGTCAGGAAGCAATAGTTAGAACTGGACATGGAACAACAGATTGGTTCCAAATAGGAAAAGGAGTACATCAAGGCTCTATATTGTCACCTTGCTTATTTAACTTACATGCAGAGTACATCATGCAAAATGCTGGGCTGAATTAAGCACAATCTGGAATCAAGATTGCCAAGAGAAATATCAATAACCTCAGATATGCAGATGACACCACCCTTATGGCAGAAAGTGAACAAGAACTAAAGAGCCTCTTGATGAAAGTGAAAGAGGAGAGTGAAAAAGTTGAAAACTAACATCATGGCATTCAGTCCCATTACTTCATGGCAAATAGATGGGGAAACAGTGGAAACAGTGGCTGACTTTATTTTTGGGGGCTCCAAAATCACTGCAGATGGTGATTGTGGCCATGAAATTAAAAGATGCTTACTCCTTCAAAGGAAAGTTATGACCAACCTACATAGCATATTAGAAAGCAGAGACATTACTTTGTCACAAAGGTCCGTCTAGTCAAGGTTATGGTTTTTCCAGTGGTCATGTATGGATGTGAGAGTTGGGCTATAAAGAAAGCTGAGCACAGAAGAATTGATGCTTTTGAACTGTGGTGTTGGAGAAGACTCTTGAGAGTCCCTTGGACTGCAAGGAGATCCAACCAGTCCATCCTAAAGGAGATCAGTCCTGGGTATTCATTGGAAGGACTGATGTTGAAGCTGAAACTCCAATACTTTGGCCACCTGATACAAAGAGTTGACTCATTTGAAAAGACCCTGATGCTGGGAAAGATTGAAGGCAGGAGGAGAAGGGGATGACAGAGGATGAGATAGTTGGATGGCATCACTGACTCAATGGACATGGGTTTGGGTGGACTCCGGGAGTTGGTGATGGACAGGGAGGCCTGGTGTGCTGCGGTTCATGGGGTTGCAAAGAGTCGGACGTGACTGAGCAACTGAACTGAACTGAACTGAATATTCCATTGTATATGTGTACCACTTCTTTTTTAAAGAATGGATGTCCCTTTGCTAAGAGGAACCAGGGTGGGGCCCAGAGGAGCAGAAGCTACTTCGTCAGATTTACTGAGGTCAAAGCCCTGCTCTCCAATCCACATGGTCCATCGTAATATACCAGGTATGGGTGTTCTAAAGATGGGGGCTGGTTCATAGTCTTTTTTTGGTTTTCCAGAAGATTTTGTGACCCAGGCAAAGGCTGACTGTTACTTCACCAATGGGACAGAGAAGGTGCGGTTTGTGGTCAGATTCATCTTTAACCTGGAGGAGTATGCACGTTTCGACAGCGACTTGGGGATGTTTGTGGCCTTGACGGAGCTGGGGAAGCCTGACGCTGAGCTGTGGAACAGTCGGCCGGATATACTGGCGAGGAGCAGAGCCTCTGTGGACATGCTCTGCAGACGCAACTACAAGCTGGGCGCACCCTTCACCGTGGGGAGGAGAGGTGAGGCGGAAGTTGGGGTCTCCTTGGTGGGAGCCTGGGCGTGGCTCTTCTTCCTTGTCCTGGGCAGTTTCCTGCTTCAGGATATTTATCAGGGTCAGGTGCAGGGGAGACTTTATATGATCTGTCCCCAGTTATGACTCACTTACTGTCCTCAGGGGTCAGGTCACTGTGGTCTTGGTCCCAGATACCAGGGCTAGTGTCTTCCCGAACACAAGGAAAACTGTGGGTGTGTCTGATAAAGCCTGCATCCTCCTTGGGGGCGCTGGCATTTCCAGTGTCTGAGTCCTGGGGGTGAGCTTTCCCCACATTTCCAGTTGCCACATGGCTGATCTGGGAAAGAGATTCAGGGCAGAGACAGCCGCTGAAGGCACTGTGGCGTCGGCTCTGTGGACTCCCTTCACCACCTCTCATTTTTTCTCTCCTCTCCTAGTACAGCCAGAGGTGGCAGTGTATCCGGAGAAGACCCCAGCCCTGCAGCACCACAGTCTGCTGCTTTGCTTGGTGACGGGCTTCTACCCAGGGGACATCGAGGTCACCTGGTTCCGGAATGGGCAGGAACAGAGAGAGGGGGTCATGCCCACTGGCCTCATCAGGAATGGAGACTGGACCTTTCAGACGACGGTGATGCTGGCCGTGATGCCTGAGCTTGGGGAGGTCTACACCTGCCGTGTCAACCATCCCAGCTTGCCAAGTCCTGTTTCTGTGGAGTGGAGTGAGAACCAGCTTGTATTTTCTGGACCCAACTCGAGTCGATCTGACTCGGAACGGGGCGTGTGTTACCTCCGCATTCATCTTGGCCACAGCACTAGTTCCTCGCTCTGACCTGAAGGAGTCCTAGAGATTGGGGTCGTTGGGTGGGGTCGTTGGGTGGGGAAAAACCATGGCAGATAGCTATCCTTGGATCTTCCAGGAAATAAGGAGGTCTAATCACCTTGTCACTCACTTCCGGTTTTGGGAACTTGCATCCTTTGGTACTTTGACCTTGGCATTTAAGGGGGCATTCTTTTTGGCCATCAGAATCATTAACAAACTCCATGAGTACAAACGTTGGACCCAAAGATGTATTCTTTCTCTGGACAGCACTTACTGCTGTCCAGCACAGGCCCTGGGATTTCAGGAAAAATGTTAGTTGCTCAGTCATGTTCCACTCTTTGGGACTCCACGGACTGTAGCAGCCAGGCTCCTCTGTCCATGGGATTTCCCAGGCAAGATTACTGGAGTGGGTCACTATGCCCTCCTCCAGGGGATTTTCCTGACTCAGGGATTGAACCGGGGTCTTCTGCATTGCAGATGGATGGAGTTTCAGGAGGGAGCACCAAACATTGGGAGCTTTTGGCCAACTTTGAGACCTGTTTCCCTTAGGAGCTCAGTCTGAATATTCTTGGAGAAAGATGCTGGGTGGAGCTGCAGCCTTCCTGGTCGGGCTAGTCTTCTTTTTGGTGGGAATTGTCATCCACATCAGAGCCCGGAAAGGTAATAAGTTTTGAGGAGCACCCTGCCACCTATCCCCCAGCTTCCCCCACTTTCCACTTTTCCTAACATCTAAGATGTATGGTCAGAAGGCTGACCATACTTCTCAGGGATCACTGGGATAGTCATTTATGAAGCCAGAAACATTCTCCAGGGGGTAATTAGAGATGGAGTTCTGATATTGTGGGTCATCTCCCACCACTCAGTATAATCACTTTTGATCCTAATTGATGCATTCTATTTCTTCCTTCTTTTTTTTTTTTTCATTCCAGGACGTGTGGTGACTCCGTTGCTTGGCAATGAGGTAATGTCTTCTTCCTTATCTTTGGGTCCCAGATCAGTCCCCAGCCTTTGGCAGAGGGAGGGATAAGATGTAAGTGGCTCTGGCTGTGTGGCTGAGTCCTTGCCCAGGAGGGTGGGCACCTCACGAGACTTTATCGCTGTCCCTGCAGGTTCCAAGAGCAGTGCTTCCACCACAGTCGCACTAGGTTCTAACTGATGCTTCTCCCCCGAGGGCCTGAAGAGTGATCAGGTGGCCCTGGACCAAGTGAGGGATGCTGTGAGGTCAATGTTTGGGGTGACTCATTCTGTGAGACCTTGGAGGAGTCCTTAACTAACTCTGGAGGGCTGCCTTCTGAGATCACGCATCTCTCACCCTCCTGCCCTTCGTCCTCCTCCTTGTCTACATGAGTCCTTGTTTCCGAGGACAGTGCCCAGAAATTCCCCCAAGACTTAGCTCCTTCCAGCCCCAGATGGTCCAGCCCTAACCATTTGAGTCGTGGTCTTCAACTTTCTCTCCTCCAAAGGCAGCCCCACAGTCTTCAGAACTCAAGTATTCAGATAGTCACTGCTTCCTTTTCATTGTTTTCTGTTTGTTTTTGGCCACACTGTGAGGCCTGCGGGATCTCAAGCGCTGTGACCAGGGATCAAACCTGTGCCCCCTGCAGTGGGAGTGAAGAATCATAATCCTGGAGCATCAGAGAAGTCCCATTTTCATTGATTTTTAAAGTCTTTTTCTTTTCCTTTAAAATAAAACCGAGATACCAACAACCACATAAAATGTGTAATTTAATACATGACTTAAATCAAAACCCTTGTAATCAACACCCAGTTCAAGAACTAGACCTTTTCCAGCCGCTGCAGAAGTCTCTCTGCTCTGGGCCCATCAAAGCTCCGCCTCCCTCCTCTCAAAAGGAATTATATGTTTGCCAACTATTATACACAGGATGGAGGAACAAAAAGGTCTTACTCTTTAGCACAGGGAACTATATTCAGTATCCTAGGATAAACGATGATGGAAAAGAATACGAGAAAGTGTGTGTGACACACACATACAGATGAATCACTTGGCTGTGCAGTAGAAATTAACACAACGTTGTACATCAAACTATAACTCAATAAAACTTGCAAAAGTAACCATGGGACGTCCCTTCTGGTCCAGTGTCTAAGACTCTGTGCTCCCAGTGCAGGGGCCTGGATTCAAGCCCTGGTCGGGGAACTGGATCCCACATGCCGCAACTAAGAGTTTGCACACCACAACTGAACAAGATCCTGTGGACCACAGCTAAGACCCATCGCAGTCAAATGAATAAATAAATATTTTAAAAGAGCAAATTAAATCTTTTTTAAAAAAGAAAAAGTAATCATATCTGGACCGTTATATCAACTATTTTAAAAAATTTCTTTGTGGTCTATTTACTCAAGTGTAAACTATTGGACACTCTAGCTTAGGAGTCTTTTTAAAAATTTAAATGTCTTTATTTTTAACTGGATACTTGCTTTATAATATTGTGTTGGTTTCTGCCATATATCAGCATGAATCAGCCATGAGTGTAGGTATGTCCGCTCCCTCATGAACCTCCCTCCCACCCCCCGCTCCATCCCACCTCCCTAGGTCGTCACAGAGCCCTGATTTGAGCTCCTGGGTCAAACAGCGAATTCCCCCGGCTCTCTGATTTTCCACATGGTGATGCACATATTTCAGTGCTGCTGTCTCAGCTCATCCCGCCCTCTCCTTCCCCGGCTGTGTCTGTGTCTGTATTGCTGCCCTGCAAATAGGCTTCATCAGTACCATGAGAACCGATGGTTCTGGATTCCATATAAGTACGTTAATATATGATACTTGTCTTTCTCTTTCTGACTTACTTCACTTGGCATAATAAGCTCTAGGTTCATCCACCTTATTAGAACTGAGTCAAATGTGTTCCTTTTTATTTAGTTGCCATTTATGTTTATTCACATTTACAGTTTTGCCCTCCATCCCTTTTTGTTCCTTATGATTAGTGCAGTGACATTCCTGAGCTATTGGCCTGCACAGTTCTCTGCAGTCTGGATTTGCTGACTGGATCACCCGGTGCCGATTGCCGTGTTCCTCTGTCCTCGGCCCGTCTCGCAAATCGGCATCTGCTTGAAGTGGTTGATTAGGCTTAGATGTCATTCCTCTGAAACGTCCATAGGTGGGGCTGTGATCTCACCATGAGACACACACACTGCTTGTCTCTCAGTAATGTTAGGAACCATTGCCGGGGTCAGTTAAATCCCTGGGAAATGTAGAAATGAGCAAGCTCCTGGAGTTGGTGATGGACAGGGAGGCCTGGCGTGCTGCAGTCCATGGGGTCGCAAAGAGTCAGACACAACTGAGCGACTGAACTGACTGAACTGATTGTAGATAGAGAATGCACTAATTCTATCATCCCTTCTTCATTTACATGCACTGTTGTTTCTGTAAAGAGATCCTTCCCTTCACTGAGGAGTGTTTTGCCACATGGTACTGGTGGAAACAAAAGATCAAAGTTGAATTATTTCCCTTGATTTACTAGTGTCCAAGTTCAAGGATTTTTTGTAGTCTCATAAACTCAAGGATTTTAATGGTGACCTGTTAGGACTGGGCTCCAGAGTGTGCTTGGGAGGGGAAGGTAAGGTGAGAGAGGCAGTCATGGGTCTTATGTGGCTGGGCTCTTGGGGACAGAACAATCTTAACCGTAGCATCCTTGGCAAGCCAGGGATGAGCTGAAAGAAGCCTAGGTTTCACGTCCAGGTGAGGGAAATGGTCACAATGCTAGATTAGCCATCAAATAAAATTTCTGTTGAGAAAAGTTCAGAAATGTAATCATCTTAAACCCGAGTTGTCTTTGCTTAGGCAACCATAGGTCGCTGCTCTGAAATGTGATATGGTACTTCTACAGCCAGATGGCGATCGCGGTGGACTTTAAGTTGGTTTTCTCCAAGTTCAAGAAATGCAAAAAGGCAAAATGGTTGTCTGAGGAGGCCTTACAAATAGCTGTGAATAGAAGAGAAGAGAAAGGCAAAGGAGAAAAGGAAAGATATACCCATCTGAATCCAAAGAAGAGCAAGGAGAGAAAGCAAGAAGAAAGCCTTCCTCAGTGATCAATGCAAAGAAATAGAGGAGAATGGAAAGACTAGAGATCTTTTCAAGAAAATTAGAGATACCAAGGGAACATTTTATACAAAGATGGGCAATAAAGGACAGAAATGGTATGAACCTAACAGAAGCAAAAGATATTAAGAGGAGGTGGCAAGAATACACAGAAGAACTATACAAAAAAGATCTTCATGACCCAGATAATCATGATCCCAACCTAGAGCCAGACATTCTAGAACAAGAATTCAAGTGGGCCTTAGTGAAGCATCACTATAAACAAAGCTAGTGGAGGTGATGGAATTCCAGTTGCGCTATTTCAACTCCTAAAAGATGATGCTGTGAAAGTTCTGCACTCAATATGGCAGCAGATTTGGAAAACTCAGCAGTGGCCACAGGACTGGAAAAGGTCAGTTTTCATTTCAATCCCAAAGAAAGGCAGTGCCAAGGAATGCTCAAACTATCACACAATTGCACTCATCTCACACGTTAGTAAAGTAATGCTCAAAATTCTCCAAGCCAGGCTTCAACAGTACATGAACCATGAACTTCCAGATGTTCAAGCTGGATTTAGAAAGGGCAGAGGAACCAGAGATCAAATTGCCAACATCTGCTGGATCATTGAAAAAGCAACAGAGTTCCAGAAAATTATCTACTTCTGCTTTATTGACTATGCCAAAGCCTTTGACTGTGTGGGTCACAACAAACTCTGGAAAATTCTTAAAAAGATGGGAATACCTGACCACCTGACTTGCTTCTTGAGAAAGCTGTATGCAGGTCAGGAAGCAACAGTTAGAACTGGACATGGAACAGCAGACTGGTTCCAGATAGGAAAAGGAGTACATCAAGGCTGTATATTGTCACCCTGCTTATTTAACTTATATGCAGAGTGCATCATGAGAAATGCTGGGCTGGATGAAGCACAAGCTGGAATCATGATTGCCAAAAGAAATATCAATAACCTCAGATATGCAGATGGCAGAAAATAGCAGAAGAACTAAAAAGCCTCTTGGTGAAAGTGAAAGAGGAGAGTAAAAAAGTTGGCCTAAAGCTCAACATTCAGAAAACTAAGATCATGGCATCCAGTCCATCACTTCATGGCAAAGAGATGGGGAAACCATGGAAACAGTGAGAGACTTTATTTTTGGAGGTTCCAAAATCATTGCAAATGGTGACTGCAGCCATGAAATTAAAAGACACTTGCTCCTTGGAAGAAAAGTTATGACCAACCTCGGCAGTATATTAAAAAGCAGAGCCATTACTTTGCCAACAAAGGTCTGTCTAGTCAAGGCTATGGTTTTTCCAATAGTCATGTATGGATGTGAGAGTTGGACTATAAAGAAAGCTGAGCACCAAAGAATTGATAGTCTTGAACTGTGGTGTTGGAGAAGACTCTTGAGAGTCCTTTGGACTGCGAGCAGGTCCAACCAGTCCATCCTAAAGGAAATCAGTCTTACATAGTCATTGGAAGGACTGATGCTGAAGCTGAAGCTCCAATACTTAGGCCACCTGATAAGAAGAACTGACACACTGGAAAAGACCCTGATGCTGGGAGGGATTGGGGGCAGGAGGGAAGGGGACGACAGAGGATGAGATGTTTGGATGGCACCACTGACTCGATGGACATGAGTTTGAGCAAGCTCTGGCAGTTGGTGATGGACAGGGAGGCCTGATGTGCTGCAGTCCAGGGGTTCGCAAAGAGTCAGACACAACTGAGCGACTGAACTGAACTGAACTTTCCAAGTTCTTGGAGGGAATCCCCGTGGAAATCTGACATTTTCTAAGGGGATTTCCACACTAGCCTCCACATCTCCTTTTTCTCATATTACCTCGGTCTGCAAGGCTCTGAGCGGAGCAATGGGGGACATGGAAACTCAGGGGAGGGAGAAGAGGTGATGAGGCGCTTTCCAGTCCAGCCAGAGAAGCCCTGTGCTTCTGTCCCCTCACTGCCTGTATCCGACCTTCCCTTCTTAGGCTTCTGTTCTTAGTTATTGCTGTCACCGACCTTACAGAGGAAGTCTGCAGCTGTATCGATACAGATCTGGGTGAGAGACACATTGAATTTAATATTCTATAAAAGGATCATGTAGATACAAACCCAAATCTGGTTTATTATAACTTGAGTCAACAAAAGCAAGTCCATTTGGCAAACTGACTGTTCTGTGGCCTCAGGCACTGACCAGCTCCCCAGTCACCACGAGATGTCACCTCATCACAGGCTCTAAGGCCTAGAAGGGACACTAGAGATGATCTAGTTCAATCCACGCATTTTTCAGCGTATAATGCAGGCAGTCCTGCTAGAACTGAGCTTCAGGAGACTAGGAATTCTTTTTTCTTCCCCACCACTGATGGATTCCCAGTGCCTAGAGCAGAGCAACTCAATAAATGTTGATTCAGTGAAAGTAGGAAGTCAAAAAATTCAGGCACACTGATGAGATTAGAAAAAGAAACACATTTCTCTATTTGATAGTCATATAAAAAATGGGAACCATATCTATTCTAGTAAAAGTAACACACACAGTTCTCTAGTACATAGCCTGTCCATTGCTATTCATAACAACTGGCCTCTAGGGCGTATATCAATTTTTACAAATTTGGAAACATCACACATATACTAATTCAGCTTCTTCATTAGTTTCTGCAAAGTGAAAAAGAGAATACCCCATTTTACTTTCACTTTATAATTTGAAAGAGAGAATGTATGACAGAAGAGTTCTTTAGATGTCACCGGCAAAATTAATGCAACTGGTTGCCCAAAGATGGTGAGAAATGTGCAAAAAATATTGATTCAAAAAATTAATCAAAAAATTGATTAATTAGCTGCTAATGAAGGAGATCACGACCTAATGACTAAATCACCAATAAAGGAGATAGTGCATTGGAGAATATTTAAGATTGTTGAGGTTGGCATAACTAAAATCACAGAACAATTTCATCATAATTCTTGGTTCCAGATTAGATACAAAATAAGACTTTGGGTTCTCTGATAGGAGAAGATTCTGAGGTTGACACTGAAGTCTATCCATAGAGCAAACATTCTGAGATGCTGGCAAAAGAAGTTAGTGTTTGTCTTCAACAAACTTCCGAAACCGAGAGAACTGGCCTTTCACAGATGTGCTCACCAGAGAAATCTCTCTTGACTGTTCTCCACTTCTCCAGTCCAGATCCACTGCTTTTCCTTCTCAGTCTTTATTTCCAGGTCCACATCTGTTTATGAAAGTGTGTTAGTTGCTCAGTCGTGTCTGACTCTTTGCAACCCCATGGACTATGGCCCGCCAGGCTCCTCTGTCCATGGAACTCTCCAGACAAGAGCACTGGAGTGGATAGCCAATCCCTCCTCCAGGGGATCTTCCCAACCTGGGTCTCCCGCATGGTAGGCAGATTCTTTATCATCTGAATCATCAGGAAAGCCCCTCTGTCTATACTTGTTGCCCAACAGAATCATTACAAGGACTTCACCCAGAATCAAAATATTTTCTTGCTCCAAAGAGGACATAAGGATGGCCAAAAAGCACATGACAAGATGTTCATCATCATTAATTATCAGAGAATTGCAAATCAAAACTACAATGAATTATCACCTCACACTGATCAGTGTGGCCGTCATCGAAAAGTGTACGAACAAAGGCTGGGGACGTCTCTGGTGGTGCAGTAAGCGAGACTCTGCCTCCAGTGTAGAGGGGCACGGTGTATGGTCCCCAAGGACCCGCAGTGTTCGGGTGCCTCTGCCTCCTTAGTGGGCTGTGCGGTGAGTGGTGGTGGGTCTGTGGGTGGGGTTTAGGCGAGAACTTACATAATGCTATCAACCAATACTACTTCAAAAAAAAAATCTCCACTAGAGATTATGTAATTTGTTGAAGGCCACAGAGTCTATTTTTTGTAAAATGATTTTTGTTACTCTACAGCATGTCAAATAACTCTACATTATAATTTCCAGTGGTGGCACAATGCTTCTTGTATGAAATTATGTTATAATTCACTTGCAAGTCCTTATTAGATTGTTTGTCTCCTTTTTGGTTTTTAAAAATGTAAAATCTTTTTTCTACATTTTATTCTATTATTTTTAAAAATTAATTTTTATTGGCGTATGGTTGCTCTATGATGCTGTGTTAGTTTCTGTTTACAGCAAAGTGAATCAGCCATACTCATATCTCCCCTCTGTTTTGGGGTTGCTTCCCATTTAGATCACCACAGAGCGTCGAGGAGAATTTCCCTGAGCTACGTGGTTACAGAGTTCATCAGTTCCTTTTGATACAAGCACATTTTCCTCAAAATCTGTTGTTTTACGTCATATCTCATGGTATCTCATAAGTCAAGGAAGGTAGTGAACAACTTTTGGACAATTATCTTCTTTCCCAAGGAATATCATTTCATTTCTTTCCACCTCCATACAGTCAAACCCTGAATATGAGAACCAGAAAAACTGAAGAAATATCCCAAGGAGAAATACACCAATTCACGTTGCTTTTCTGGTTCCTGAACTCTCCAAACATGTTATCAGCGACCCAGTTCAGTGGGTTTTGGTGATGACTTAGTGATGAGTGCCTATCAACGGTCCATGAGTAATTTTTGAATGGAGAACTTTCTTTGAAGGTGTTTACCCAGAGACAAATGAGATCCCAAGTCATCGGATTGATTGGCCTTTCCCCTAGGTACTGTCTAATCCTAAAGTTCACAGGTTTCCTCATTTTCCTGCTCTGCACAGTGAAGCATCGGGTCCATTGGTGGCAGCTGCGGTGACTGCCAGAACTTCTCTTCCACCGTTCCTGTTTCAAGGCTGCAAAGATGAGGGTGACCGTCCCCAGGAACCCCGGGACTGTGGCTGGAGTGGTGATGGCTGTGTTCCTGGTGCTGAGGATCCCTGGGGCTCACTGCAGAGATGCTCCGAGTAAGTGCTCGATGGTTGCACCAGAGCTCTCCAATCTGGGAATTAACCTCCGACGTCTCTTTGGTTTAGGGTTGGATGCGGTGCACTCTGGCCACATCACAGGGAGAATTTAGAAGGGCTTCTATCATGGTCCAGGTTTTTCCTCTTCAGAAAAAAGAATGTTGCTAGATTCCTTTTTTTCCACCTCTGCATTGGGAGGGAAGGCTAGTGTCTCTCAGGGAAAAGACCTTGGGATCGCAGAGTTCCGGCAGAAAAAGAGAAAGTCCATTTCTACACCAGAGGCCAGGCAAAATGAGAAGCGTTAAGACTGCTCAGAGAGTCAGTGGCAAGGATTTACTGTCCTAGGCACTCTTCAGGGCGAGGGGTGTTTATGTCCGCTTGGACTGAAGGTTGGAGAAATTCAAGACAGCTTTAGTCTCTGCAGCTTCACTCTTTGAGGAGGATGAGCTCCTTGAACGCGAGCTGCAGGTTCGCAAGCCCTTTGTCGGGTCTGAGAGGAGAAATGGGAAGGGTCCAGGTAATGATTGTCACTAATTCTGAGTTTATGCACAACCCTGAATCCATATCGCTGCGGAATAGGGCTGTGAGACTAGTGAAGAAAGAAGAGAATTAATATTTACTGTGCACGCACAAATTTCCAAATCCTGTAGTAATACCTTATACACATCTTTCCAAAACACAAGCACATGCACACAGATGACTCTAGGGTAAGTGTTATTAGCCGCTGTTTATTTTTAAACATCGGTTATTTTGGAATACAACATTATTTGTATAACGCAGGCATTATGCAAAATGTATATGGAAAGTTTAATAAAAGTGATACAGAAATATCCAAAAAACCAATAACCAGGTCTGAAATGACTATGCCCAGCACCCCAAAAGACCCCCATGTCCGTCTTCCTAATCACACCCACTTCTAATTTCCAGAAGTCAGCTCTATTATGACTCTTATAATCTTAATATTACTGCTTTTCTTCACGGTTTGGACATATATGAATACATCCTTAAACAATATAGAGTAGTTATTTCCCTCTTTAAATGTTCTGCACGTTTATTTTGTTACCAAACTGTTTTTTATTGAAGAATAGTTGGTTTACAGTGTTGTGCTGATTTCCGCTGTATGGCAAAGTGACTCATTTGCTGAGTCACATTTACACACATTCTTTTTTTGTTCTTTTCCATTATAGTTTATCACAGGATATTGAATAGAGTTCCGTGTGCTCTACAGTAGGACCCTGTTTATCCATTCTAAATGTAGTAGTTTACATCCCCAAACTCCCAGTCCATTCCTCTCCTTCCCTGTAAGCTGCTAGAAACCACAAACCTGTTCTCCATGTCCATGATTCTGTTTCTGTTTTGGAGATAGGCTTGTTTGTGCCATATTTTAGATTTCACATTTAAGGGATATCATATGATATTTGTCTTTCTCTTTTGGACTCACTTCACTTAGTATGATAAGCTCTAGTTGCATCTGTTCTATGAATGTATTGTCTCACTTCTGCTCAAAATAATGTTTGAATTCTGTCATAGATCTTTCATGTAATAATCATCAATCCATTTTCATTGTTGTGTAGGAGATTCCATGTTATGAGTGTGCTACAATGTACTTATCCATTCTTTTTTTTTCTTTTATTTGAATTTCAAAGGTAGCACACATTCATTGTAACAATTTCAAACCTTATTAATATTCAGTTCAGTTCAGTTCAGTTCAGTTGCTCAGTCGTGTCCAACTCTTTGCGACCCCATGAATCGCAGCACGCCAGGCCTTCCTGTCCATCACCAACTCCCACAGTTTACTCAAACTCATGCCCATCGAGTCGGTGATGCCATCCAGCCATCTCATCCTCTGTTGTACCCTTCTCCTCCTGCCCCAATCCCTCCCAGCATCAGGGTCTTTTCCAGTGAGTCAACTCTTCGCATGAGGTGGCCAAAGTATTGAAGTTTCAGCTTCAGCATCAGTCCTTCCAATGAACACCCAGGACTGATCTCCTTTAGGATAAACTGGTTGGATCTCCTTGCAGTCCAAGGGACTCTCAAGAGTCTTCTCCAACACCACAGTTCAAAACCATCAATTCTTCGGTGCTCAGCTTTCTTTACAGTCCAACTCTCACAACCATACACCGACCACTGGAAAAACCATAGCCTTGACTAGACGGACCTTTGTTGGCAAAGTAATGTCTCTGCTTTTTAATATGTTATCTAGGTTGGTCACAACTTTCCTTCCAAGGGGTAAGTGTCTTTTAATTTCATGGCTGTAATCACCATCTGCAGTGATTTTGGAGCCCCCCAAAATGAAGTCTGACACTGTTTCCACTGTTTCCCAATCTATTTCCCTTGAAGTGATGGGACCGAATGCCATGATCTTAGTTTTCTGAATGTTGAGCTTTAAATCAACTTTTTCACTCTCCTCTTTCCACTTTCATCAAGAGGCTTTTTAGTTCCTCTTCACTTTCTGCCATAAGGGTGGTGTCATCTGCATAGCTGAGGTTATTGATATTTCTCCTGGCAATCTTGATTCCAGCTTGTGCTTCTTCCAGCCCAGCATTTCTCATGATGCACTCTGCATATAAGTTAAATAAGCAGGGTGACAATATACAGCCTTGATGTACTCCTTTTCCTATTTGGAATCAATCTGTTGTTCCATGTCCAGTTCTAACTGTTATTTCCTGACCTGCATACAGCTTTCTCAAGAAGCAAGTCAGGTGGTCTGGTAATCCCATCTCTTTCAGAATTTTCCAGAGTTTATTGTGATCCACACAGTGAAAGCCTTTGGCATAGTCAATAAAGCAGAAGTAGATGTTTTTCTGAAACTCTCTTGCTTTTTTGATGATCCAGCGGATGTTGGCAATTTGATCTCTGGTTCCTCTGCCTTTTCTAAAACTAGCTTGAACATCTGGAAGTTCACGGTTCACGTACTGCTGAAGCCTGGCTTGGAGAATTTTGAGCATTACTTTACTAGCGTGTGAGATGAGTGCAATTGTGCGGTAGTTTGAGCATTCTCTGGCATTGCCTTTCTTTGGGATTGGAATGAAAGCTGACCTTTTCCAGTCCTGTGGCCACTGCTGAGTTTTCCAAATTTGCTGGCATATTGAATGCAACACTTTAACAGCATCATCTTTCAGGATTTGAAATAGTTCAACTGGAATTCCATCACCTCCAGTAGTTTTGTTCGTAGTGATGCTTTCTAAGGCCCACTTGACTTCACTTTCCAGGATGTCTGGCTCTAGGTGAGTGATCACACCATCGTGATTATTTGGGTCATGAAGATCTTTTTTGTACAGTTCTTCTGTGTATTCTTGCCACCTCTTAATATCTTCTGCTTCTGTTAGGTCCATACCATCTCTGTCCTAAATGAAGTCAAAAGTAGAAGTAACTTCTTTCCCCTTCGTCTCCCCTTACCCCACCCCCAATTCCACTTCCTGGAGAGAATCCCTTTATCAGTTAGGTGATAACCGTCCAGATTTTTCTCTGTGCAATGGCAAATATTTATGTTAATTGACAAATTTATCTCTGCTTGCTGTCTCATAGGACACGCAAGCTTAACAAGGACAAATGGACTGTGGACTTTCTCCACTAAACTTTCTCTCCCAGATTTTCTCCTCTTTGTAAATACCACCACCATCCCACCCAGACTTTCAGGCCCTGAGGCTGGGAGACATTCTTGATTCTTTCTTCACCGTAGGATCCTGAGCCCAATCTGCTAGCTCTACCTCCAAAATATGGCCCTGTCTAGACACGTGTCACACCCTCCACTGCCAACAACCTGGTCTAAGCCTTCATCTATTTACCCATTTTGATGTGCACTTTTGGATTGCTTCCACTTTCCCCCTTATGTATCCTGAAGCATATGAGCTTGCTTTTTATTCGACTATATATTTAGAATGGAATTGGAGGTTCAAAATGGAATATGTATCTTTACAACAGAATATCCAAGAGTTATTCAAATTGATTGCTTCTTATAAGAAGAACCCAGTTCTTGGCACCTTTGATACTCTCGATGTTATGTTTTCTTATCTGGTGGATATAGAGTGGTATTTCACTGTATTTTTCTTTTGAAGTATAGTTGATTTACAATGTTGTGTTAATTTCTGCTGTACGGCAAAATGATTTAGTTATGCACTTACATACATTCTTTTAAAATATTACTCTGTTCCACTGTGGTTTATCACAGGATATTGAATGCAGTTCCCTGAGCGGTACAGTAGGAACTTACTGTCTGTCCATTCTTATCTAAGAGTTTGCATCTGCTCATCCCAAACTCCCACTCCATTTGTCCCCTCCCACAAGCCTGTTCTCTGTGTCTATATTTCATTGTATTTTTAATTTGAATTTCTTTGATTTTAATGAGGATGGGCAACTCTGCCTATGTTTATTGTCTACTTGTTGTTTAGTCTTTTTTGTAGTACCTATTTTGACATTTCTCCCCTTTTTTTTCTATTATAGTATCTGTTTTATTTGTTTTTAAGAAATAAAAAAATGCTATACTCCAAACTAAGCACATGGTCACCACCTGTTTTGCCAATGTTTGTTGGTACTTCCTGGCTTGTCTTTTTATTTTCTTGTGATATCTTGATGAGCAGAAGCTGTTATTCTAATGAAGTTGATCAATCATTTCTCCTTTATGGCTTGTCATTTTCATGATTTGCTTAAGAAATCCTTTATACTTCCAGAGTCATGAAGATGTTCTCAGATTTCATCTCTAATGTAATAGTAGGATTGCATTTCATACTCAGAGCTTTAATTCATCCAGGTTTAGTTTGTACAGGGTGTGAAGAATGGTCTAGCTTCATCTAAATTTTTCCCAGGGATACAACTCTAAGGGTTGAGAGCAGATTTTATTTAATCCTTTGGTATTTTCCTTCTGTCGTCCATGCCTCCTTAAGACAAGTGGTTGGTTGGTTGGGATGCAAGCCTGAACTAAATCTTACCTGATGGGCTCTCCCACAGAGAATTTCGTGTACCAGTTTAAAGGCATGTGCTACTTCACCAATGGGACGGAGCGTGTGAGGCTTGTGGCCAGACAGATCTATAACAAGGAAGAAATCCTGCACTTTGACAGCGATCTGGGCAAGTTTGTGGCTGTTACAGAGCTGGGCCAGGTGTGTGCTGAGAACTGGAACACCCAAAAGGACCCCCTGGAGGAGTTTCGGGCCTATGTGGAGACGCTGTGTAGACACAACTACAAGGAGACAGCCAGCTTCACTGTCCAGCGGAGAGGTGGGTTTAGGATGGGCCGAGATGCCTTCACACAGAGCCTCGTGGGGAAGGACGCAGGAAAGTGATCTTTTGTGGTTTCCCAGCCTCTTAGGGGGACCAGGAGGGGTGTCAATCTCTAAGGGGAAAAAATGTTGGAAGATCTGGCAGGGCAGAGTTGAGAGGGTGGGAAAATCATTGGGGCCTTCCTTGGTGGCGCTAGTGGTAAAGAACCTGCCAATGCAGGAGATGTGAGATGCATTGAGAACAGTGACTGGCAACTCCAGTCCTTCGAATGTCCCAAGCCCTGGCCGTATATGCTGGGGCTTCTGAGTCCCTGTCATCTCCTAGACTCCACACCTTCCTACAACATCTGACTCTTGTGTACTTCCTTCATCCTTACCCTTGCAGAAGTAATTCTTCCTCCTTGAAATGCTCTCCTTTTCTCCACCTTCCCTTTCTTTTTCTATTGAAATCTCTCATCCTTATAGTCCCAACCTCAAGAGCAGTGCTTCTGTCAGCTTCACTGGGGCAGCTAGATGGAGCTGGCTTTGGTCCTCCAACTGTGTGCCCAGCACACTTGGCATATATGTACACATGCACACATATGGGTGTGTAAATATAGTTTAAAAGTTACCCCGTCTATTAGCAGATGCAAGCTATTATATATTGGATGGATAAACAACAAAGTCCTTCTGTAGAGCATAGGGAACTATGTTCAATATCCTGTGATAAACCATAATGGAAAAGAATATGAAAAAGAATATATATGCATATACATACATAATTGAGTCACTTAGCTGCACAGCAGAAATGAACACACTGTAAATCAACTATGTGGTGGTTTAGTTGCTAAACTGTGTCTGACTCTTGTGACCCCATGGACTGTAGCCCGCCAGGCTCCTCTGTTCATGGAAATCTCCAGGCAAAAATACTGGAGTTGGAGTATTGACAAAAACACTGGAAGTGGTTGCCACTTCCTTCTCCAAAAAATCAACTATACTTCAATAAAAAAATCAACTACACATCAGTAAAATCAACCATACTTCAGCAAAAAATTATCCAGTCTGTGTTACAAAGAGCTTTCACATAAATGATCTTGTTCAAGAAACCAGTTATTGCTAAATAAAGGTCTTCTTCTATTACAAAGTAGGCTAGCATATAAACTAAATAAACCCAGAGCTGGAATTCTAATAGATGACAAATGTTTGTTATCTTTGTGTGTGTGTGTGTGTGTGTGTGTGTGTGTATGTGTGTGTGCATACAAGCATGTTAAGAGAACATTATTTATAACAAAGCCTGAAAACAATCCAACTTTTCATCAAGAAACAAATTGAGGCATAACTATATAATAGACTACTACTCAGCAATAAAAAGAAATAAACAGGGACTTGCCTAGTGGTCCAGTGGTCCAGTTATCCACGCCTTCCAATGCAGGGGTAGTGGGGTTCTTGGTCAGAGAACTAAGATTCCACATACCGTGTAGCAAGTAAGCCCATGTGCCACAACAAAATATCTGTGCTGTAATGAAGACTCTCCTGCCACAGCTAAGACTCAACGCAGCCAAATACACAAATAAAATGTTAAAAAAAGAAACAAGCAAATGGACAAATGAATTGAGTTATAACCATACAACAGAATACTATACAGAAATGAAAGGACAGGAAACCATTACATGAATGCATTCATAGAGATTATGTTGAGATACAGAAGCCAGAAACAAAATAGCACATATGGTAACATTCCATTTACATGAAAATTACAAACATGTAAGATTAAACTATGGTGTTAGAAATTAGAATAGTAATTGCCTCTGGTTAGAGGTGGCGGTAATTCCTGTTATCTGGCCTACTTCAGTTTCTAAGGACAGACTGCAGCCCCTGGTAAGAATTTCTTTGCTGCCTCATTCTCTAATTTTGTCTCTTTTGCTCCCAGTGGAGCCTACAGTGACTGTCTCTCCAGCCAGTACAGAAGACCCGAACCACCATAATCTGCTGGTCTGTTCAGTGACAAATTTCTATCCTCGCCAAGTTAAAGTCAAATGGTTCCGGAATCAACAGGAGGAGACGGCGGGAGTTGGGTTCACACCTCTTACTCAGAATGGGGACTGGACCTACCAGATTCACGTGATGCTAGAGACAAAACCGCAGCTTGGAGACGTCTACGTGTGCCGTGTGGACCACCCCAGCCTCCAGAGCCCCATCACAGTAGAATTGACCCTGTGGACTCGACAGGAAAGAAAAAGTTCAGGGAGTGCGCTGCGTCTGGTGGGGTGGGGTCCGTCTTCATCCCTTGTGTCCTACGTAACTCCCTGACACAGTTTCTGGGCTGGAAGTGACTGAGGACTGGATCCCAGCATCTCAAGTTGAAAGGCATCTGTCGAGTCCTTATCTCATTTTCCCCCCAAGATGTGATGGTGGTCCCTTCACACGACCGGACCCCTCTCCCCTCTCCTCCAGGCTGCAGTTCAGCCTGAGTAATGCGCCTTCTGAAGTGCTCAGGCTCTGGGCTTTGACATAGAGGCTGGTATCTGAAGGTGACCCGTGGAGGACGGACAAACAGATGGACATGCCTCCTTGGGGCTACCATCTTGCCCCCGTCATCCATCGGAGCCCCCCGGGGTCTTTGCCTGCCCTCCCCTCTTCTGTCTGGTTTCTGAGCCCCTCTGTCTCTCATACACACGACCAGACTCTAGGCTTCCAGACGAGGATGCTGTGGGCTGTGCGGACACTGATGTGAGGGCTTTGACTTCCAGGGGCACAGTCTGAATCTGCCCAGAGCAAGACGCGGAGCGGAATTGGAGGTTTTGTGCTGGGGCTGATCTTCCTTGGTGTATCCCAAAAGTGGGATAAGAGAGGTAAGGCACCTTGGGAGAAAAAGGGGAAGGCAGGTGCTGGGCTGAAAAGCTTCTGTTGATCCTTCTATAGCAACTGTCTCAGTGACGCTGGGGTGATCTTCTTTTGTGGCAGTTGAATCTTTATTGTATGTGGGTGGGAGAAGAGAAAAGAACATTCTGGAACTGTCCCTTCCTTTCCTTTCAGAGGCTGAGATAAAGAGAGATGCTATTTTCTCACTTCGCAGGTGAACGAGTTTTTGTTTCCCTTCCTTTTCATTCTTCTGATGCCAGCCGATCCTGAGGCTCCATCCACAGGTGAGATCCCTCTCCTTCTGGTCTGGAACAATGACACAGACAGACAGAGCTGTGGAGTGGGCTGGTCTGGACTCTCACCTGCCTCTGTTATTCCATTCTTGGTTCACACCACATTCACTCATGTGAGTTGGGGTCAGGGAAAAGTCTGGAACCTTCTATGCAGTCTCTGCAGGAAACCTCAGAGGTGGTTTCTCTAGAAGAGGACCCAGCCTTTGCTATCAGCCATTCAGGAGTGTCTGAATGATGCCCCAGACTCCACCGTGACAGGAAGTACTCCTGAACTTGCTGGTAGGAGAAAGGACAGGACCCACAGTTCTCACCCATCCGATTAGTCCATGACCTGTGCTCAGAAGCTGGCCATGCGGCCCTTCAAGCTGAAGATGTGTGTTCACTTTCGTGGAGTATGGTCCTTCCTTAGTTCCAGGAGATGTAGTGAAGAGCAGGTGTTAGATGAGATTAATCTCAGTGTCCCCAAGGGACCTAGAGCGGGTAGAGCTGAATCTGCTTCAGGGGTGGGTGTGACTTATGAGTCCTGCGTCTCTCCTCCAGGGTTCCTGCACTGACCCCAGCGTTCTTTTTCCTGGGATCTGTCATGACTCTTTCCTGATCTTGTCCTGCTATCCCTCTCCGTGGTTCCTGCCTCCTTTCTCTCAGGACCTGTGAACAAGCCAGCTCTGCCCACATCATCCATCAGGACCTGACTCCCGGTGACCCAGAAGTAGCTGTCACATCCTCTTTTTGTTTTGATTTTTCCTGAATTTCTGCCCATGACTCAGCTTTCCTCGTTGGCTCTCTGAGCCGCCTGCTGAGTCTGTTTGAACCATAAATGCCCTCAACAGGCATTTCTGATCTCATTCTCTTTTGAAGACTGCCCGTGAATTCAGTGTCAAACTCTTATGTTTCCATTAAATAGTTTTCAAAATTAAATACATTTGTGAATCCCTTGTGTTCCTAATTCTTATTGAGTGTGATGGTGGTGGTCCTGGGGAAACACTAACAAAGAAAAGGTCAGATGCTCAAGTTCAGTTATGTCCCAAAGAAGGTCAGATCCAGGCAAGGCGACTAGAAGGTCTTGGGTCCCCATCCTTGGTCTAATTCAGGTATCACGTAACAACATGAAGTGAGGTGTGAAGTAAATTCAATTTTCCATTGTCTGTGGGTTCTGCAAGCTGGGACTCTGTGCAGCAGACTTTTCTGGCTTCTACTACAGTCTGATGAGTTTTCATATATTTGTGCAAGTGAAACAGTTTGGTCCCTTCATGGACCCAATGCCTGATGTGATGAATGAAATGAATAGCACAAATATCTTCTATCAAATGCCCTGTCTCACTGGGGCAAAATATCAATAAAATTATTGCTCATTGACTCCAAACTACCGGAATGTATAATTAACAGTGGAAGCTTTTATTAGCAAGTATTTTTTCCAGTGCATATGATGAAAATTTTCCTAAAATCAGCCTAAAGGAAAACATTTATTTGGGGGTTTCACATAATTGGAAAGTTTGTGTTAGGATTTGACTTCAGAAAAATGCCTAGATCCCAGGACATCAGTGAGACTGTCTCCCCTCTCTCTTAGTGCCTTCTCTGGGCCTTCTCCCTTCCTGCTTCAGTCTCTCCTCTCAGTGTACTTCTCTCTGTATCTCTCTCCATCTATACCTCCGTTTTCTTCTTTTTGTCTCTCTCTCCCTTTCTCTTTTGTTGTCTCTGTCTGAAGGACCCTTTTTCTCTCTGTTAATCTCGTCATTGGTTTTCCTGTCCTTCTGTCTCTGACTGTGCTTTCCTTTCTATACCCATGTTCAGCTTGTGAGCGCTTCTCTTTCTCTGTATTTTGCCACCTCTTCTCCCTCTACGCCCCTCACGTGCATTTCTGCACTTACTGAGCCCGCCTCTCAGAGTGTCTCCCGTCCACCCCTTCACACCTCCATCTACTGGCTCACGTGCCTATCACTGCTGCGCTTTCTGTCATTCTCCCTGCCCGTTATCTCTCTGTGTACGTTCTCTCTTGATATTGCTCATCTCGCTGCTTCTCTCTGTCTCCACTTCCCTCCTGGGATACAGGTTTCTGGCTTTCTCTGGCTCATGCTCTGTGTATGTCTCTTGAGTTCTGCTCGTCTCTGTTTCTGTCTCTTGTTTTCTCCTTTGGGAATCAAGCATTTTCCACATGGCTAGTAATACGGCCATCTCAAATTCTCAGCCCATCACCCAAATGACAAAAGACCATTATGTTGAGTTCAGTTTAGTAATCTAGATGAAGTCTGATTGAGTGACACTCCCAGCTTTCACTTGGACAGTCACAGGACAGTCACTTTATCCGTAGGTATGAGGGACTCTGATTGACCAGGGTTTGGGCTTGGACACAATTCTCTGTCATAGATGGGGACTTTTTTCCTTTCCCAAAACAAGGGTGGAAAAGAGTAAGACTGGATGGGTACTCAACATTGTCACCACCATCATCCATTATGCAAAACTTTGATACCTGAAGTTTCTCTGTCTCTGCTTTTCTGTTTGAAAAAAAATTCAGATTTTCCTCTATGTAGAATTTATGTAGTCCATATACAACCAATGCTTCACTTTCCTATTCTAAAGGGAGAAACACTAGATCACATTGACCTCCAAATCTAGGACTTCTGATGATGTAAATTTCTTTTTCTACCATGGATAAGGCTCTTAGTGGTCCAAAAATTGTGGTGAAATGATAAGTTCACCCCCCATTAATACAGGAGGAAATGATAGCATAAACCACAACAAAACTATAATCATCAAATGAGTGAAAGGTTCAGAGTGCGTCCAACTTACTGAGCTGGCAGAGGAGTGACATAGGTCACAGAATCTGGCTGAATGTTGGCTCTGCTCCCGAGGAGGCTCTACGCTGCCCTGGTCCTACCTGACCCCTCTGTGAGATGGTCCAGGACAGGGCTCTCCTGTGTCACACAATTTAGAAGTCCTCTTCATTTTGGTGGGTTTAAAGGGGCACGTGGCTTTGTGTGGGCACTCTGGATCCTGAGGAATATCTTAGGCATGTAAAATTCTTTTTTTTTTTTTTTACATTTACCCAAGGCATTTTTTTAATGATTTGGAAATAAATTAAGGATACTATCTCAGTCTACCATTCTAAAGAATTATTCATCTAAAAAAAAAAGAATTATTCATCTACACTACATAGTAAGCTTTCATTGACATTCTTCTGCTATGAAATGAACAATCTTTAGACAGATTTGACATAACATTTAGAAATTTTTAACTTTTAAGCTTATGTGTGTGTTTTTAATAGTGCATTAGAAAAGATGCAGAATTTCATAGAAGACAACTTCATATGCGAAACTATGCAGTTATTCCACTCAGTGCTGAATGTAAAATTCCTAATTCTTTTTTTTTTCCTGGAATTTTTTTTCTCTCACTTCTTTCTTGTTTTTTCATAACCTTTCTTTATTTTTTTAAAAATATAAATTTATCTATTTTAATTGGAGGCTAATTACAATATTGTATTGGTTTTGCCATACATCGACATGAATCTGCCACGGGTGTACATGTATTCCCCATCCTGATCCCCCCTCCCACCTCCCTCCCCATCCCATCCCTCTGGGTCATCCCAGTGCACCAGCCCTGAGCACCCTGTCTCATTCATTGAACCTGGACTGGCGATTCATTTCACATATGACAATATACATGTTACAATGCCATTCTCCCAAATCACCCCACCCTCGCCCTCTCCCACAGAGTCCAAAAGACTGTTCTGTACATCTCTGTCTCTTTTGCTGTCTCCATACAGGGTTATCGTTATCATCTTTCTAAATTCCACATATATGCGTTAATTTACTGTATTGGTGTTTTCCTTTCTGGCTTACTTCACTCTGTATAATAGGATCCAGTTTCATCCACATCATTAGAACTGATTCAAATGAATTCTTTTTAATGGCTGAGTAATATTCCACTGTGTATATTTACCACAGCTTTCTTATCCATTCATCTGCTGATGGGCATCTAGGTTGCTTCCATGTCCTGGCTATTATAAACAGTGCTGCGATGAACATTGGGGTACACGTGTCTCTTTCAATTCTGGTTTCCTTGGTGTGTATGCCCAGGAGTGGGATTGCTGGGTCATATGGCAGTTCTATTTCCAGTTTTTTAAGAAATCTCCACACTGTTCTCCATAGCGGCTGTACTAGTTTGCATTCCCACCAACAGTGTAAGAGGGTTCCCTTTTCTCCACACCCTCTCCAGCATTTATAGCTTGTAGACTTTTGGATAGCAGCCATTCTGACTGGCGTGTAATGGTACCTCATTGTGGTTTTGATTTGCATTTCTCTGATAGTGAGTGATGTAGAGCATCTTTTCATGTGTTTGTTAGCCATCTGTATGTCTTCTTTGGGGAAATGTCTATTTAGTTGTTTGGCCCATTTTTTGATTGGGTCATTTATTTTTCTGGAATTGAGCTGCAGGAGTTGCTTGTATATTTTTTAGATTAATTCTTTGTCAGTTGCTTCGTTTGCTATTATCCTCTCCCATTCTGAAGGCTGTCTTTTCACCTTGCGTATAGTTTCCTTCATTGTGCAAAAGCTCTTAAGTTTAATCAGGTCCCATTTGTTTACTTTTGCTTTTACGTCCATTACTCTGGGAGGTGGGTCATAGAGGATCTTGCTGTGATTTACATCAGAGAGTGTTTTGCCTATGTTTTCCTCTAGGAGTTTTATAGTTTCTGGTCTTACATTTAGATCTTCAATCCATTTTGAGTTTATTTTTGTGTATGGTGTTAGAAAGTGTTCTA